TTGCATTTTTGATTGGAAATTTTTTTCTCAAAAAATGGCGGTGTAGCACAAAAAGTTCAGCGACTAAGTGACTTGCATATAGTTATTACAACTTAATGTCAAACCTATTTTTAGATTACTAATTAAAACTCTCGGAGATTCATGATCTACATATAATATTTTCATCATTGATTGGTGGACCACGAATTAACTGATGGTTAAAAAAAACGGGCTTTATTTTTTCAAGGTATCTTTATTGATGGCCACGAGTATTATGGTGTAACCAATAACGTGAAATAGAGACCTGCATCAGGTTGGGTTCTTGTTTTAACCCGACCCGAATCCAAAAGTCGGGTGGGTGGGTTTGGTCATGACCCGAATCTATAATAATTGCTTGGCAAAAAGAATTTTAATTTTATTGGCTATATATATATATATAAGTGCACACTTTTTGTTATAATAATAATAATTTAACTAATATCAAATACACTATACATTAACCAAATATTATCAAAAATTACTACCTGGAAGATTATTATGTAAAGGTAAAAATTAGTGGAAAAAGTGATGTTTGTTTAAGATCTGCTGAAGTATTGATAAAGATGATAGGTCTTGTGGTAAAGTTGTTTTAAAGAATTGGCAGCATTTATATAAATATAATTCAAAAGAAGGGACTTCTAGTTTAATAACGTCATGTTTGTAGCTCAACAAGCAATCAAAGAAAAATCATATCTTTTTAACGAAGAAAGTGATTTCTACAAATGTTAAAGAAGATACAACAAAAAATAGTTAATTTACGTCCATTTGAAATAATTGTGGGTTCAAGGTTTCGGGAATCAGTACAAGGGTTTAAAAAAAGTTTAGTGCGGTTGGACTTACAGTTAATTAAATTTGCTCAAATTTAAATCCACAAACAATTGATGGTATTCTTGTATTATTATTAAGAAGCTCATTACAGCAAAATTTTTTTCTTGTAATTTCTATTCGTTTAATAAAAAGGTATACAAGTCGGGTTCGGTTTGAATTTTTTAATGGAAGGTCGGGTCCGGGTTGCGAATTATAAATTTATTCGGGTATTCATTCAATTATAGTGACCCGTGCAGGCCTCTAACGTGAAGAGTTCTTAAATATGATGGAAAAGTACAGTCCCCCAAAAAAGTAATGGCGGTGGGATTATTATGCAAAATTTATCATAATAATATTTTATTTTATTTAAC